AAGCAAGATGAGCATGGAGTCGTAACAAGGAACAAGGCAAGGTTGGTGGCTCAAGGATTCACTCAAATTGAAGGCTTGGATTTTGGGGAGACCTATGCACCGGTGGCTAGGCTAGAATCAATTCGTATTCTACTTGCCTATGCCGTCCATCATGACTTCAAGCTATATCAAATGGACGTGAAGAGTGCATTTCTCAATGGCCCCCTATCTGAGTTGGTGTATGTAGAGCAACCACCGGGCTTTGAAGACCCCAAGTATCCAAACCACGTCTACAAGCTCGACAAGACTCTCTATGGGCTCAAACAAGCCCCTAGAGCTTGGTATGATTGTTTGAAGGATTTCCTACTCAAACAAGGTTTTGAGATAGGAAAGGCTGATGCTACTTTATTTACTCGCAAAGTCAATAATGATATCTTTGTTTGCCAAATATATGTCGATGACATAATATTTGGTAGTACTAATGTGGCTTTTTGTGAGGAATTTAGTAGGATTATGACAAATAGGTTCGAGATGTCTATGATGGGAGAGTTGAAGTTCTTTCTTGGATTTCAAATCAAGCAACTCAAAGATGGCACGTTCATAAGTCAAACCAAGTACACCAATAACATGTTGAACAAGTTTAACTTGGACAAGGCCAAGCCCATCAAGACACCCATGCCAACCAATGGACATCTTGACCTTGATCAAGGAGGAAAGGACGTCGATCAAAAGGTATATCGCTCCATGATTGGATCATTCCTTTACCTTTGTGCATCTAGGCCCGATATTGTGCTTAGCGTGCGCATGTGTGCAAGATTTCAAGCTAATCCAAAAGAATGTCATTTGATGGCCGTTAAGAGAATTTTTCGGTATTTAGTGCACACTCCTAATCTTGGCTTGTGGTATCCTAAGGGCTCCACTTTTGAGTTACTTGGCTATTCCGATTCGGATTATGCCGGTTGCAAAGTAACCCGAAAGAGTACTACCGGGACTTGCCAATTTATTGGTCAGTCCTTGGTGTCTTGGAGCTCTAAGAAGCAAAATTCCGTTGCTTTGTCCACCGCCGAAGCCGAGTATGTGGTGGCCGGTGCTTGCTGTGCCCAACTACTTTGGATGAAGCAAACACTAAAGGACTTTGGATGTGAGTTAAACAAGATTCCACTTTTGTGTGACAACGAGAGTGCTATTAAGTTGGCAAACAACCCCGTAAACCATTCTCGAACAAAGCACATAGACATCTGGCATCATTTTTTGAGAGACCACGAAGCCAAAGGAGATATCGCCATTCACCATGTGAGCACCGAAAAACAATTAGCCGATATCTTCACAAAGCCCCTAGATGAGTTAAGATTTTGTGCTTTGAGGAGTGAACTAAATATCATTGATTCTCGTAACGTGGCTTGATTCCTTGCACACACATTTTGTTTCATCTAGTTAGGAGAAAAGATTTAAGAAAACATTGTGTGTCATTTTCAAAATCTATTTTGTAATTTTCATAAGTGACTATTGCTTTGTGATGGTTGAATGAAATCTAGTCACTTATGAAAATGTTAGTGTCCAACATATTTTTGCCCCACATGGTGAGGTGAGTGCAGGTTAAGGTGTTTTTCTGTTTCCCTGCGTCAGAAGTCCCGACGGCCGGAAGTCCCGGCTCCCGCCGGAACTACCGACCGCCGGAAGTCCCGACGTTAGCCGGGAGTTCCGACGCAGATCTATTTTTTTCACCGCGCCCATTGGTTGCCTGATTCCCTTTTAACTCAGCCCAGTCGGTTATCTCCCTCCCGTCACCCTCATTCCTTCTCCACGCACCGCCGCCATTCCTCCTCTCACCGCCGCCATCGCTCCTCGCACCGCCGCCCTCTCTCCTCCCCGCCCCTTCTTCTCCGGACCTCTTTCCGGTAGTCCCGACCGCCCCTATCCATTCCTCCGCCCAGTGCCCTAGTGTTTCCTCGGATCGGCTGTGGTCTTGACGTTGGTGTGGAGGAGATTCCATTGGTGGAGGAGATTGCGCTTGTGGATTGGTTCCTCGCCTGCGTTTTCGTTCTTCTTCGTCTCCTCCGTTCTCGATCCAAGGTACTACCATGGCGTCGAACCCTAACTCCAATGTACCTTGCGTTTTCAATATATTCTTTCTTCCTCTCTACTCCTCTATCTCCCTTGTTTGGATGTGTGTTGTGATTTGAAGCCCCATGAATGGGATGGTCAATTTGGGCGTCGGAGGTCCCGGCGGCCGTCGAAGGTTCTGACCGTCGGTACTCCTGACGTCAGGCCGAAACTTCCAGCTGTCGGAAGTCCCAACCTTGGCCGGAACTCTCGACCCTAGAATGACCTCTCCATTCATGTTTCTTCACTTCTCGATGTTCGTTCGCATCCCCTTGTATTATTTCTTAGTTCCCCTTCGTATTCTTCGCAGTCATGGATAGTGGGAGTCCTTCGCGTCACCAGGAGAAGCGTTCCAAGAAGAACCAAGATCGCGTTGCTGTTCCTAAGCCGCCCGGCCGCACCAAGGTGTCTTATCAGCGTGGTGGTGCTGGTGGTTCCCGCGTTGCCCGTCGCCGTGTTGATCAAGGGTCATCGGCTGCCGCTCCTCCTCCTGCTCCTGTCCCTCCTTCTGCTCCTGCCCCTGTTGGGGCTGAGCCGATGGTTGATGAAGAAGAGGAAGCACTGGACCGTGCTGGACGCACACTTGCTGTTCCACTGCTTCGCACCCCGCCTCGAGGTCCACCGGGGACGTTTCAGCTTGTTCCATTCACCAGTGTGTTGCCGATCATGAGGGCACCCACCATGGCTCCGAATCCGACTGATGGATGGACTCCTCCCCTTCTAGTGAATTATCGTCACCGAGTCAAGGACATCTGGTACAACAGAGGCAGGAACCTCTATGCTGAGGACGAGGACCTACGACTTGAGCATTGTTTCTGGCATCCTTTTCATTATGACTTTTATGACTCCATTCTTTATCGGAAGTTCTTGAAGAGGAAGGAGCCACTGGTCCTGCAGATGAAGTGCATTGATGCATACTCTCTTGGTAAGTACAAGGAGCCCGAGTTGGTGCAGATGGTTCGTGATATACAATCTATGGGGCTATCCTACCTGCTAGAGTTTCGGAAGAATTGGAACAACGAGTTGATTTGTCAGTTTTATGCTTCTTATCATCATGAGAGAGGCTAGACCGGTGCTGTGGACATTATTCATTGGACCACTGAAGGCAAGCACTATAAGGTGGACTTCGTCAATTTCTCTTGCCTTCTAGGTTTGGGTCACAGCGACCGGAATACCAATGAGTTGACTGAGTATGAGGATCTTGCTTTGGAGGAATATCAACACATGTATCTTGAGGGCCACAGAGCTGATGGACAGACCGCATTTCTGAAGCCATATTATTATGTTCTGAACAACATCCTGAGACAGATATTGTATCCGAAGGTAGGTGACTCCACCTTCCTTCGTGATGATTCACAGAAGGTGCTTGAGAGATTTGGAGATGAGTTTCAGAAGTTCTCCATCAGCCGCTATATATGGAATAAGATTCATGATGCTTCTGAGGATCCGGTGAAGCATCTTCCCTATGCACCATACATCATGCATATCATAGAGCATGTATCCGGCATCCGTTTTCCCTATGACTCTGAGCATAAGCTCCTCAAGATATCCAACAAGACCTCTATCATTGCTGCCAGAGAACTGCGCGAAAAAGCTGAGGCAGCCCAGGGAAAAGGGAAAGGTGTGTCTGGTTCTCGCTCTCGCCATGGTGCGTCGACACCTGCTGCTGCTGCTCGCTCTTCAAGTGCTGAGCCTCTCTCTTCGTCCTCGTCTGGAAAGAAGCCCAACAAGTTCATGTTCCTAATGACATACATGTTTGGACAGTGTTGTGCTAGTGCTCAACGTGAGCACGATATGCAAGAAAGGCTATATCGATTGGAGCAGCACGCAGGGATTGCATCTTCTCCTCCGCTGCCATTTGTGCCTCCTCGTGATCCATTGGCGTTATATGATGAGGCTTGTGCGGCGTACGATGATGATGCGACTTCTCGTCCGCGTGGCAAAGGAAAGGCAACTGAGGACGATGAGGAATACATCGAAGAGGATGATGATGACGACGAAGCCGGTGGTGACGACGATGACCAAGATGAGGATGATGACTATGACGATGAGTAGTTGCCTATTCACGTGGCCTACCCCTTTGGGCACTTGTTGACAAAGAGGGAGTGTTAGGCTTTGACTTATCTTGTAATAAGTTAGTTAGTCTTATGGTTTCGGAACTTTAAAACCTTTAGCAAGTACGAACTATATCGTGTGGTGGCAATCTTGTGATGGACTACTATCTATATGTGTGTGTGATGGATGATTGTAGGACAAATTTATGGTTATCTATTTATCTTATTAGCTTATACTTGTCTCTACTTATGATGGTGAATGTATTTTGGATGGCCATGTGTTGCTTCAAATTTTTGTTTTAAAATCTTGACCATCATATTCTCTTTTACTTGTTGGATTGGATAGGATAGGACGCCGACGAGACAAAAGGAGAGGCAGCACGATAAGGCCGGTTACTATCGGGTAAAAACGACTGAGACGCTCCAAGCAGAAAAGCAAAATGCAACAGAAAACGGACAGGGCTAGGCACTACTTTCCGCTATTATTTTGGAGAGAAAAAGGCGCATAATGCAGGCATACAATGACAAGCATACGGAAGACACATTGCTTTCTTGCTTGTGCCTCTCATGATCTCATCGATCCGTTTCCCAGTTACTGGCTCCATGTCTGTGCTTGCGGGTGTCGCTTCCGTGGTTCCGTGGCTGGGCAGCCGTGCACAACTATATGCTGGTAACGGCGGGAAAAAAAGAGCTCATACGCAGCAGGGTGGCCATTGGTTTTACACCCTTAGATGTTTTTTTTTTTTTGGGTTAACGACGATAGGCCGATCGAGAGGCAGAAGCTCACGCGCGACGGAACACGTACCTTCCCGTGCTTATCTCCAATGAAGACATGGAGCGCGAAGAAGCAGAGCCAGACCATGACTAGCAGCGCCACGTCCGCCCACGGGAACCCCGCGCCATTTCCGCGGCCGCCGCCCTCGGCGTCGGCGTCGCTACTGCCGCGGGGCAGCCGCAGCAGCAGGGGCTCCTTGCCGTGGTGGTGGTCGCCGCGCGCGGCCCCGGCCCCGGCCCCGCCGCTCTCGGACCGCCAGATCTTGACTCCCGCGCGGTCTTGGCGGTGCAGGAGGCGAGGAACAGGGAGAAGAGCAGGGTGATGAGCCAGTCCGGGAACACGACGTTGCACACCACCCCGATGCTCACGCCCAGGAGCAGGCACGGCTGGAACCGCAGCGCGATGTCGTAGTCGATCAGCCTCCCGCTCCCGCCGCCGCTGCCCGTGCCCGTGCACGCGAGGTTGTAGAGCACGTTCGAGGCCGCGCCGCCCGTGACCATGAAGGACGAGTAGGCGGTGGCGCGCTTCAGGCTCAGCCCCGCCACGAGGTTTAGGATGGGCAGGAACAGCGACCCGCCGCCCACGCCGCCGGCGCTCGACACGGACGCCGCCAGGAAGGAGAGCGCCCATGCCACGACGGTGTTCGGCCGGACGCCAGCATGCGCCGCGCCGCCGCCCGAGTGCGAGGAAGGGGCGCCCAGGTGGGTTTCCCGCCACTGCGACGCTTCGGCGAGGAGGCTTTGGAGTGACGAGGTGGTGGTGTTGGATGCGGCTGCTGATGACAAGATGGAAACCGCGATGGCGGCGACGAGAGGGAAGAGCTGAGTAGTCCGCGTCATCTTCGGCTTCGTCCTCTGTTTGCTTCTCGGAACAGAGAGGAGATTGTCTGTGACTCTACTTTTATACGCGATGAATCTTGTCTCACACACAAGACTGGGTTAAGACTTAACAAAGAAAAAGTTTTGAAGTGTCATCACAGATATAGAAAGAGAAAGAGACATGTCTTGTTATTAGGGAAATTCGCATTGACATTCGTCCTGTTCGCTCGCTTATAAGCCGTACTTTTTCAGCTAACGAACAATATTTTTCTCTCACAACAAATCAGCCAACAGTACTTTCAGCCATGGCTTATCAGCGAAGCGAACAGGACAATTATTTGGCTAAGTATAATAGTAGTTTGGAAAGGCCATTGCCCCGTGCTAAGCTATTCTAACATCATTCATCCAGCATCCCCAGAGGGTGAAGACATTGTAGTGAGCAATTCAACAGCTGAATTGGAGGCAATAAGTTGACAATCGCATTGATTCAGGTATGTTGTTTGTTGTGTGGAGTAAATGTCCCGTGAAAAAAAATCAACTTTTTCTGTATGGGTAGTGGGTACCAATTCGTGCGATTCGTACCTCAATTTTATATTCCTGCCCAATTTCTATCATCAGCTATTCAGTTTACCCATCCATTTCATAATAATTGTTTAAGCCCACAGTAAACAAAGTTCAGCGCTAAATCAATGAATAAGGATGAAACAGTTCAAAACACTTAACCTCCTTCTTTCGTTGTATTAGAACAATGGCTAGAGGCTACAGTGTTTTTTATATTAAAAAAACTAAAGTTGCAATTTTCTAGACAGACAAGAATTGAGAATTTGATTACCAAGGAAAGTTGAAAGCATTCAAAATGGAGAGTAAATGGGTCATCTGGATGACATCTGTTCAACCATTTACAACCTACAATAGGGATTGCATGCAACCTATACAAAAGAAAAGGCACGTCTGAACTGGTGGAAGATGTCTCGTAACTCAGTTGGACACATTTTAGCATTTAAATATTCACAAATTACGTGCTATTATTGGAAATGCAATGAACAATCATGTTATGTACAAATTCTTCTAAGATACCCAACTCACATCACCAAAGCTTCCACACCCATAGGGCCACAATTCAACCTCCCTTCCTATCTTTTCTCACGGTAAAATTTTCATGAATACCTATGAATAGAACTATAGAAGAGAGGTAAAGAACTCCGGATGGAGAAATGAAAGAATTCAGCTACACACGCACAATGAAGACTTCAGCGATTAAAGAGGCTCCTCCATCACCATCGATCATCTGCAAGCATGTTGAAAGCCATGCATGTTGAGATTGAAAGCTAGTGGGGCTTGCTTTTATAAGATATATTGATATAAATATTTGAATGGCAGGATATCAATTATCAAACGCATTATCTCATGTAAGCTAAAGCACTTACCTTGACAGAGTCAATATCACAAGTCTGGGAGTTGCTCTCCATCTTCACCATCCTCTTTGCTATTTACAAATCCGAGCTGGGCCTCTGATTTAAGGCTCCCAGTATTATTTACAAGCTCGGCATGGAATTTAACACTTGGATTGTTATTTACAGCAGAACTGTTATCATCTACTACATATTTACCGAAAGCACCATCATCAGAGCTTTTGGGCCCTTCAGACATGCAGTCCAAAGAACTACAGCTGCTTCTGCGAGAGAGTCTACCATCTTCTGAAATCCCAGACTTCTGTCGCTGCAGCAGTTCATACCTGTTGTTATCAGGAGCGTTCAACCTGGAGGGTAAAAGTATAGAAGTCACCACAGGAGAAATCTAATCAGACAAAAAAGCAGCAATTTCCAAAATCAGGATGAAGGCCTGAACTATCCAACAAAAAATATCCAGCCTTTATCAACCATATAGATGAAATACCTTATGTAGCAGTATTGGCATTAATCAACCACTAACAAGAAGTGCTCAAGTGTAAGCTTTGAACATACCTTGTCTGTTGAAACCTCGATGTATGGAGGGAGTCAAAGACTGGTATGAGATTCTTTGAGCTTGATTCTATGTTATGGGTCTGGATTTTTTCTACTTCAACTTCCCCTGAAATTACATCAGCATTGTCTGCTTCTGAAGTTTCACCCTCCATAACTTGAAAGTGTATCTGGCATCAGTCAATAAGCAGGCATTGCAATTTATAAGTCCCAGCATGTCAATCAAACAGAAAATATAAATGCAGCATTGAAAGGGAAAAAGGTGCAAGAAAATACCCCAGATCTAGACCAGAGTGGAGTTTGCACAACATGAGTCTGCAACTCACTCTGAGAAATATAGAAATTACGATTTTCATCAGCACTGAGCTTTTGTCTTTCAACAGCAGAACAGTCAAATGGGTAGACACTAATCCCTTTCCTCATAGCTTTCAGGAAAAGTTTATTACTTTCTCCATTCTCAAAATCACTATATGCAAAACTCTCAGCGCTGTCTCTTCTATTTCTTTTATAACAAACATCCCACTTCTGAAGAGCTTCAATAACAAATTTTGTATCAGTCTCTCTCTCTGGCCCATAAGAAATGGGGCTTGTCTGTTCAGCTGAGAGATGGAGAACATACTGTATGATGCTTCCTGATGGAGAAAATACTAGTAAATAATACTTCATTCGCGAACTGCCATCTGAATTAATGTCACCACCCTTGCAGTTGTGAAATGTTGAAGCAATAGCACCAGAAATTGGACTGGAAGCACCAGTTGCAAATGCGGCAGCGCCATGGACAGCACCCTTAAACATGTTACTCCCATTTCTTATCCTACTAACAACAGACAATGTGACAGGCGGTCCAGATACAAAGAGAGTCTTCTGACTGAGACTCAAAGAGGTTGCTGAATTTTGGGACCAATGAGCAGTATGATTAACTGATGAATCCACTATGTAATCATTTTCTGCACGATTGTTATCACTGTAACGGAATCTTGTTGATCCACTATATGGAGAGATTGAAAACAGATGACTAGTTCCTCTTGAAGAGCTAATCATTATCCAGTCACTATCATCACTAAAGCTGATGTCTTTTATGATCTGAAAAATAAGAAGTGATACTTTTACAGGTCAACCAACTTTACAGATAATAATGAGCAATAAATAGGTATGCCAGCTTACCGCATTGGTTATGCCTCTTTGCAATTTGTACAGATGAACATAGGTTCCAATTTGACCAGCTTCTGATGTCCCATGTGGAGGTATAATGCGGAAAACATTCATGTTTTGACCATGAACAGATGCTGTCACCAGCAAAGTTCCACTTGGATCAAAGCAAAGTGCAGAAATGGGACTAGTGTGTGCCCTGAACTGAACTATCAATAATTTAGAGACAATATCTCGAACAATGACCTGCCATTGCAATATCATCATTCTGTGAAATAAGTAAAGAAAAATACGGCATAATCATATTAACTGAACTTCTAATGGCAAAAATAAAAGAACATTTGTATACACTGGACACTTAATCACAGACATAAGAAAATTTCCATCCACCCACATCTATTAGGCTACTCTACTTTTGAATTCCATTCCATCCAGGCCAAGAACAAACTATCCACCTTACCTGCTACACTATCTCATCTAGCTTCGATGGACAATATTGTTCTCACTTTATTCGCTGAAAGCAAATAACTGAACAAAATGCCAGGCTTGTAAAGTGAAGTACACAATCTGCCACGGGTATTATTTCTGTAAAGCATGTATACAAATGCAGGATACAGAAGATCAGCCTTGGCCAACTCCTGAGGAGAAGAATAGCCACATCATCAAATTGTTAGCGAACTGGCCAGGTGAGTTCCGAGGTCCCTAACAGCCTTAGGGTTGGTTGGTTCTTACTAATACTAGTATACAGAAATGACATGGTAATGCTCGCAACAGTGTTAACCAAGGTTATTGCCAACTCCGGGATAACAGAATTAATGATGAAAATATGTACATGAAGAGGTCCGTACCGTTCCAGCATATTCACTGTCAATGAGGTGGCCGTTTGTTACTCCATTTGCTTTGTAGCCAGAACTTCTTTGCTTTATGGTACCATTACCATTTGGAATGAAATCTGCATAGTACTTGGACAGCTTCTTATATCCAACCTCACCAAGTGTTGCAATGCCGGCAGCCAGTTGCTTGCTTGATTCTTTTGCATAATATGTCACCACACTACCATTTGAACTAGGAGGTGGAACAAAGGGAGACAGACTAAGAAGCTGAGGGCTAACACGTCCAGTATCTGGAACAGGAACTGGAATCCCAGAGTACGCAATCCATCTAGGGCCCAATCCAAGTGGGCCATAACCTGAAACTTGTGCAACTGTAGGACTGGTAAGAACAGTATATTCTCTCTCCATGGTCGCCGCATCAAAACAATGTATCTGCAAAAGGTATTTTTTCCCATCAGGATCACTCATGATCCAAAAACTGCTTCGGAACAGTGAAAATTGCATACCTGAGTAGCCTGTGAAATAGCTACAACTCTTGGACTGCACCTTATGGAATAAACAGCTGATCTGAACCTCAATGTATGCACATATTCATGGGTTCTCAGTGAATAAAATCGTATGACAGTAGGAAGGTTTTCACCGCCTATACTATGGAAAGCACCATTGGTTCCATCAAAAACAGGAACATTAGTATCACGGTTGTTTCCACTTCCTGTGTGAGTTCCTTCACAGGCAACAGCTAGCAATGGCCGTGCATCTGCAAATCTGTCTCCAGAATTTGCTGTGAAAATTGGATCCTTTAGCACTTGAATAAACGAAACAGCACCATCGTGTCTGGATTCCAGCTGTCTTACATCATCAGCATGTTCCACATCCCACACTTGGAAGCCAGATTTGTAAGCCAGCAACAAAACTTGCCGTAGCAAGCCACCCCCACATTCGATTTTATCAAAGCCAGCCCATTGTACCTGCAAATCATGACAGATAAGAAGGGTTTTAGGCTTTTAGCTCATTGTTTACATGGATTATAATACTCAAAAAGTGAAAACCGCAAGCCTTAGGTGCATCATTCATTGGTCTGATGTATATACAGCCTACATGACCGTAAACAACAAACATATAGACACTGCTATTTGTCTTATACTCAACAAACAAACAAAAAATTGTGAAAGATTACATAGAATTTTGCATGGTTGGGAGACTGAAGAACTAAAATATGGAGATTTTTTTATTTTCTACTATAATATATTTTCCAACATGGGACTCTGATGTGAAGTCATAGTTCATAATCAACTTTTTGCTAAGCATTGAAGTCTATCTTACATAATGTAGGGACCATGGTGAAATTGAAGTTTAGTTTTCATGACAAAGTGGGGATCCATAACTCAGTAAACCAAAGCATAACTTCTGTCCTCAACTTGAAATTATAACAATTTATATACTATAATAACATACCATTAGAGGGAATAAAAGGATGTAGAATATACAGTGTCATAAATCATAATGTCCTTGTCTTGACCAAACATGACTTTCGAATCCCAAGAATTAAAAGCAGGACCCAACGCTAACTTGACTATTTGTGGAAGCTGCATGGTTCCATATCTGCAGCTTGGCTTGTATGATAATACCCAAAATCCCAAATCATCTCAGCGTATTTGCAAACTTCTTAGTTCTGAACAAGCACCACTAACTACTAAAATAATACGCTAGTCCGTCCGATCAGCACGGTCTCCAGTATGACACTTTGTATAGCAATATCTTTAAAAATATGTTGCCTTAAATGGGAAGAGCTATATAGTATGATAGTATTTTTCATAATGAACCTAATAATAATGTGAATTCCGTTATCAATGTAAGTTAAATTTTAGAAATTGATAGTCAAAGGTAAAAGAATTTGACTTAGGACAAACCTAAATGGACTTGATCAGACGAAGTACTAAAAGAGCATCTAGTTCGAACACCAGAGTCGGTATATACTGATTGTCAGCATAAATGCATGAAAAAACTGACAATAACTACAAGTCCTAGTAGGTATGACTTGGGGCAGAAACAGAAATGGAAGTGTCTTCCAGCCATAAATACACTTTTTAGCTCATTTTAACTAACGCACACGTGAACCAACTAAAAGCCTCCTCAGTGCCCAATAATTAGCAGGGTATTATAAATACTACTAGTAAATCATATACAAAACACACACAAAAAAGGAGCGACATACTAGTATCGATCATTAAGCAAGCAAACGAACCTGGTCACGACTTGCATCCTCCTCGTGGTTGGCCATGGAGTTCACCAACGACGCCCCCGCCGAGCGCAGCGTGGAGGCGGCCGTGGACGCCCCCGACGACACGATCCTCATGTAGTTGGAGAGCGACCTTGCCGAGAAGAAGCCCCCGCCGCCGCGAGGAGCCTGCGCGCCGTCCCGCATGAGTCCGGTCCGGGAATTCACCCGTGCACGCTACCGCCTCCCCAGATGCAAGCCACACGAAGCAGCAAACCCAGACTTGGCTTCCAAGCTAGCTAGTTGAGGAAGCCGAGGCCGAGACGAAACCACCAATCAGGCAATAATCAGACCAAACCAAGGCGCTCCGAAGAAGGAATCGATCGCTGATGCCCCCGGGCTGTTTCTGTGGGGAGGACTCGGGGGGACTCTCGCAAAGAAACAGCCCACCGACCGTATCCTCAGGTGCTCGCCATGGCCAGCCGCGCGCGGGGAGGAGGAGCGCTCGAGGTGGGGGGGAATCGGCGCGCGCGGGCGAGAGGCCTAGATCGTCAGGCGCGGGGGCGGGGAGGGGAGGACGACTGGTGGTGGGGAGCCGCCGAACCGGTGGTGGTTGCTCGGGGACGAGCAATTCGATCGGAGAAAGCGAGGGTTTGCTTGCGGTTTCGTTTTTTTTTTTTTCTCTCTCTCTCTCTTTTCCCTGGACGAGACGAGGACGAGGGGGGAGGGATTAGGTGAAATAGAATAGGAGGTAAAGCGCGGCTTGGCTCCTGCTTTGTTTCGAGAGAAAAATTGATGGAATCCTGATGTTGGCGTTCTGAGACGAAGAGGGGGGAACTGAGAAGGGATAAAGCAAGCAGCGACGATTTGGAATCGGTTGCTGCTCCGTGTTCGCTTTGGGTTTGTTTGTGTGTGGAGAGAAGATTACAGGGGGGCGGCGAGGCGAGATGGGCGATGGGGTGAAGGAAAGAAGAAGCTGCTGCGGAGGCGAAGCCGTGAAGCGGGTGCGGTCGCTGGCCTGGCTGGGGAGATAAACGTCTGCTCCCCGGTTGGGTATTCTGGGACTCAGAGCTGGGGGGGGGGGGGGGGGGGGGGTGTCGAGATGGGATCTCGAGTTCTCGACCGGACTTTTATGGCGTACCCGTGCGATGGCAACGTACATGTCTGTCCCGTTCGGAACACAGGGACGGACGGGAGCACGAACCAGGAATGCAGAAAGTGTCGTAGCAGGAACAGGAATCTTGGTTTCCAAGGCAAATTGGCTCGTATAGTATATATAAGAAAAGTCCAGACTGGAAAGCCGGGGTATCGCAAGCTCGCAAGCTGGCAGGTAGGTTGAGCAACTAGGAGCGTAGAATATGTCGGTTGCATATGCGATGATGCCACGGTAACGTGGAATATGCTTCGTGGAACACGCAAGGGCCCGTGTTTAGCATGGGAATCGCACGAGATCCAGCTGGAACAAGCGGGCTCTGCTCCTAATAAACAGAATTTTCGCCTCCGCTCAAGAGATCCCGGGAGAAAAAGGCATGTGCCCTTTGGATCCATCGCATTTATTTTTTACCTTTTTTCCCCTTTTCAGAGAGAAACTAATCCAGTTGCTAAACGGGCCAGATCCAGCAAACCTCCAAGCGCGTTCGGAAAGAGACTTTGGTCCTGCGGGCTCGAAACGGCCACATGACCCCGCGGCCCTTCGGTGGCCCACCCGCCGCTCGCCCCTGGGATAGATGATTGGGCCTGGGCTCGCCACACGCCAGTTTACCTGCTGCGTCAACAGGCCGTTGGGCCCTTTGGCAAGCGCCGCGGTGTCGACTTCATGAAGGTCAGAACATGAGATGCCGGCATGCCGCCAAATTGTTCGATCGAATCGAATAGAAAAAAGAGGAACATCAGCTGCCATTACCTGGTTCTCGTGTGAATGAGCAACCCTAACGTCTCAGAAAACAATGGAGGCGCAAGGTGAAGAACAAATCAAACTAGCCAGAACCCCCGCGCGATGCGCGGGCAGATCCTGTAAGAGTGATAGACGTCTATGGATTCGTTGTCAGGATGAATTTGGTATATGACCATTCTGCAATAGTTCTGAAAAAGTAGAGGACAATGAACCATGTATATATCGCAACAAAATTGTGTTTTTTACACATAGGGGATGCATTGCAATAATAGGAGCTGTTGGTCTTGCGAACGGCAAACGTCGCTGGGAGTCAGATCATTAATATTACATGGTAGCTGACCCAATCGCGGATGGCTGTCTTGTTCTCTTTGACTCGAGGACGATTATGTAGATATCTAAAATCAGGCCAAGAAAACATATGGAAAAAAAGATTTGTTGTTAAAAACAGCCGTATACTGACAAAATAGTTATGGATGATGTCATGAACAATTGTGCAAGGAAAATTTATTACCTTATAAGATGTGGGGCGCGTGCTATATATCATGGAATGAAAGGGGTCCGTATAGAAGGGAAACAAAGGCTTTGCAATCCTTACATGGGTGACATACAGTATGGATCAAACCTGAAGTAGAAAAAGAAACAATAGAGAATAGATAATTAGAGACAGCTGCTGGTAGAGAAAAATAAGTACAGTGGTAACACTTGGCCAGTCTAAGCATAACTATTATTGGAAATATTATTAACCTATATGCAGGGTGCTGTTTAGTAGGATGAATCATAGGAAAAGGGCAATTTAGACATTGCACAAAGCCTGTGCAACTCTTACATGAGGATATGTTGACTACTATGGCCTCGGATACGCGCTCATCATTCCAAAACAAAGCAGTACAATGCGAGAACATATGATCAGGCCTTCTCAAATAAAGAGGTGAGGAAACCGTGCCTACAATTTGTACAGCAAAGAAAGAAAGAAACTAACAGTTAAGGTCATGAACCGATTCTTGCGATGATCACCCAGTATATAGCCACGCATGCCTGCTTTGACTTCAAACACATAATACAATTTTATTATCCCGAAAGACAATGAGCTGGATCAAATGCCCCAAACTGATAAGCTTCAGAGTCTTGTATAATCTTTGAATTCCAATCTGCCTAAATACCCTACAGTCTTTATCTTCCTATGTTTCTGAAGAGGACTTCCTTTGACCCCCAGGAAACATGCTTGGAAGATATCAGTTTTTGTTCGATTATTAATAGCCTGTATGTATGCAGCGGTCTGCAAGCTTCAGTATAAAAAGAAACAGGGCATGTAATACACTATAAGGGAAAAAACATCCATAAGACTCAACATGCTGAGTAAAAATTCTAAGACTTTGAAGACGTAGCTTTATGAATAGTGGTAATTGCCAATATTAAAATGTACCTGTATGTTTAAGCATCATAAGTAACAAATCCCTTAGATTACAAAGCGCTCACAATACATAAATGTATGACCATGAAAAGATATCTCAAATGTACAAAATGACATTCACCTAAACATTTGAAAGGATATAAAAACACAGAGGAATGATGGTATGTTACCAAGAGAAGTTCAGGAATAAAGTTTTTGCAGCAGGTTAAGGAGTAACCCTTAATGCCATGCAGTCACTGAATCCATCGTCCTTTTGTCATGTATAAACAACCTGTCATTGGTTTTCAGGTTCAAATAATCAACCTAAGTAGAATAATACAATGACAAAGAGATGATTAGCCATGCAAAAGCTCTCATGTAGCGGACAGGAACCGCTAGACTCTTGATTTGCAATTTTGCGCATTTTGGATGCAGTACTGTAGTACTGATGTTTGTCATTAGGGCATATGTAGTGTGGCTCTTTCATGGAGGGAACACAGACGAAATCAACAACAAAAAACTGATTGTAAGACTCTAGCAGTCCAAACTTCCAATCGACCTCACTGTGGATCACAATCTTCATTATTCCAAATCGTCAGCATTCCAAGATTCAGAGATGGAACAAAATTAAGTGGTGGAAACAGAATATATCTTGCCATGTTCATATGGATTGTTTTATGTTCATATTGATCATTTGAAAATTTCATCAGTGCATTCATCCAGGAAAGCAGGTAATATTTATGTGTTGCCATGTCAGAAACAATTTAGTGCCAGAGTCATCATGTTTGCTATTGGGAAAATCACATGGTAGAAATGCCGTTTGCTTTTATAACCCTAACAAATTAGTGTCTGGCTCTAATGTGTCGTCATTTTACAATTTGACAGAAACATTCTGTAGCAATGCAATTCATTGCTAAATCACAATCGTTTTGGGCGCTAAAAAATAAGGCGGTCAAATTGAAAAGTACAACACCAACCCTGAGAAGCGAGGACAGACATTTGTTGTGATATCCCATGATAGTTTTATAGACATTGTATGGGTCCACATCTGCATTATTTGGCCCCAACGCCATGGTCCAAAGTTGAGACAGAAAAACTAGAATGTGTCAAGATTTACTGGTATATCTAGGACACAGATGGATACATGTTAAACAAAATCAGCCGCGAGCAGTAGATAAATGAGTTAGCGGTTACATGCTGATCAGGCAAAGAAAAGAAATTTTACATGTAGCAATAACTGTTCGGGTTCAGATTTCAGAGTCAATTAGCCTAGCTGAATCCATGAAGCAAGAATACATAGGAAGGACGTCCCCTGAATTGGTAAACCTCGTAACAATGCAGTAGCATATAGATGTCTAATAAGCACATGACTGTCTCCTCGAAGAAAAAAAATGGAAGGACACTGCAAAAGAGATTGTGTAGAAAAAAAAGGAATCGATTTGTACCTTCATCTTAGCATCGTCGTTGGGGATTGTCGCTTGAGAAGGGATCTGTAGAAAATTCATGAGCAAATAAACAGATAAGTTCAGGATTTGCAGTGAATTGAAGGAAAGAAAAGAGAAGACAGCAACAATTCGAATCCACTCCATTGCCTAAAGAGAGATGTAGGAAGCCTTCCGTGGGCAGTACCGTAGCCTCCGGGCCAAACGCAACGGCAAGAGTTGAAGGAGGCGACCGGAAACCATATTCATCAGAAAAGCATAGAGAACAACATGAAGTAATAGAACTGTACCCAAAAAATTAGGAGGACAATAAACAAATGAATGGAAAAATGAAATTGGACGCCTGATCAGGTGATGAAGCCGTCGAGGGTGGCTACATCTAATAGTACAGGCTGATCTCATCTAGCGACAATTGCGAGGCCGGCATGCGAAGACGTGGAGGGAGGGAGGCCGGAGAGAGGGGAGAGCGGAGGACAATCTGTAGGCCGACAAATCTCACTAACCTCGGCGAAAATGGCGGCTAGGGTTTCTTGGAGCACAAAATCAGAGTCAACAGCGAAGGGGAGCCCGGAGGCCCTACCGCCGTCGCGCACGCGACGCCCTCGGCCTGGCCGGCGCCTCCGCTGTAGTGGGGCCCTGGGGCGTGCAACCACCGAGGCGCCGTTGCCGCTCCCATCGCCGGCTGCGCGCCTGCGGGCGCCGTCAGGCGGTGGATGGCGCAGGAGGGGCCGCGCTCCGGCGGGGTGTCGTCGCAGGTCTTGGAGCTCGCGGACGGGGGAGAGGAAGAGCCGGCGGAGGCTGCGAGGCGGCGGCGCGCGGGATGTGCGCGTCAGGAGCAGCCACCGAGGAGACGGATGGGGAGAGGATAAGGCTGGCGAGGGTCGGCGTGGTGGCTTCTGGACGTGGGCGTGGCGGGCATCCAGTGCGTGCAGATGGGATCGAACGGCAAGGGTCGGACTACTGTTGATGAGCAGTGAAATGAGTTTGTGGAGTGGGAGGACACTATTGATCTACAGCGCCGGTCACCAGGATTAGAGATCTATGTACATGTAGATGTAGTTGAGCTTTTGCTTTACGGGCACGGGCGTCCGTCGGTCCGGACCTGAAAAAAAAATTCTCCTCACGGAAGCTCGTCTTCCCCCCCTGCACAATGCTCGTCCGTCACGGCTTCACGAGGTCTTGCGGCCGTCCGACCATCCCAATCCGCCGCGCTGCCACCCACTCCGGCGAGCCGTCACCGCCATATTACAGGCCTATGTTCCAAGTATTTCAAATACTTTATAAGTATGTTACGAGTGTTTTATATGGATGTTGCAAAAATAAATTGGGATATTGCATATGTTGCAATGATTGTACACGTATGTTGCAAGCTTATGTTCCTAAAGTTTCATCAGTTTTTTCAGACACGTGTTGTAAGTGTGTTTATTTGGATGTTGCATAGGTTTCACACATATGTTGCAAGTGTTTTTATCTAAATGTTGCATATGTTTTACAAGAGTTTTTCAGTTATTTGCAAGTGTTTCAAATGCACGTTTCAAGTATTTTATTTGTCTTCGTATATGTATGTTACAAGTGTTTGTGTTTGGATGACATTTCACTCCTTTGTGCTAACTCGTCTTGGTTTCTCCTCCTCTCGGAGCCAGCTGGGCATCCACCGCCCCCTCCCCTCTTTCTCGATGCTGATGGCCTTCAGGACGGTGCGGGCCTTGTAAGGACGCACGAAACAGGGCGGAAAACAAACTGCAAGTGTGAGCGTCCGAAGCACGTCCATCTGGACGTCTGGACACTGACGAGCCCGTTTACTTTATACAATCTATAAGTACATACATTTAATTATTTTGCACGATCGAGAAAAAAAGTACAGTTAATTTTGTTCACGTCTTATTTTAGGCAAGGAGTCAATTTCACATTCGGTGCCCGCGGCGAAAAATAATGCAATCTGCTTGGCGACGTCAATTCTCTAACGACCCCCCAAACACAAACAGTAGGAGAACACCACCATTGGATCCTCGTTGGCTCCCACGTTGTCGTCGATTCGTCGCCACGTGACGTGACGATCGATCCACCACTCGCACCTGCACGACAAGACCTGCTCAACAACGGCCGCACCGCCCACCAGCCAATCACTCACCTAGCCTTGGCTTCTAGTTCTAGTCAACGTGCGCGGCGCAGACCTTCCTGATCTCGCCGTTGTCGCCCGTGAGCACCTGGATCCGGCCCATGTTGGTCATGGCGGCCGCGTAGTCGGCGAAGAACTCGTCGGGCGACGCCGACGCGGCGGCCATCCGCTCCACGTACGCCCTGGTCCCCGGGTCGTCGAGGAGGGCCTGGTCTGAGCTGAAGAGGCCCGTGTTGCCGCGCACGGCGCGGTAGTAGCTCAGGTCGAAGGTGTAGGGGCTGGCCGGGTCCATCTCCACCATGGCGGGGTCGTTGGCGACGCCGGGCTCGCACTGCTCCCGCAGCTGCGCCGCGTACGTCTTGTTCAGCGACGGGTCCTGCCCCACGCGCCCGCTGTAGTTGTACAGCCGGTCCGACGCGAACGTGGAGCACTGCGCCCTCCCGATCGTGTGGCTGCCTGCAATCAGGATGCCGCCGTGCATCATCGATCAGTCGTCAGTTATTACTTGGAACAAATATGGCGCTTTGCTTGTTGCGTTTCTAGCTGGACGTTAAGCTAGTTCGATTCATTGGTTGTTCCAGCCCAAGCCTTTGAAGTATAATACCTGACAGGACGACGAGGTCCTTCCAGCCCAAGCCCTTGAAGCTGAAGTAGGTCTTGAGGTCGACGATTTTGGAGGATGGCGGCGGGAGGTCGTTGTTGGCGTCGCACTCCGCCGACACCTTGCCGTCGCGGCGGCCGGTCTCTACAGCATACCGTGGCCCGTTGCTCTGGAACAAGGAGAAGCCGCGCGGTTCAATGTGTGCACAAGTTGATCTGATTCCGAGGAGAGCAATAAAGGTCGTCGTCTCACGGCCGGCCGGCCGGCCGGCGATCGAACTCATCGCACTCACGAATGCATTTCACCAAAGCCGACGACAAAGGGAGAGGCTGATTATTATTACCAGGTACACGGCGTCCCGGGCCGCCATGACGATAATGTCCGCGCACGACACGGTCAGCGGGCACGCGTCCTCCACCTTGGCCTTGATCTGCTCGATCTCGCCGTAGCCGCGGAGGCCGTAGCTCGGGATGGCGTCCCTCTCCCCGGTCTCGTTCCGCGAGATGAGCATGATCGACGCGTCGCAGCCCTGCACGCGGCGCAAAAGAATCATCGAGAGGAAACCCGCATCGTCAATCACCCGGGATACGGCCGGCGACGCACCGAGCGAGATCGATCACCCGTGCAGTGGGCATGCAGTGCACGCGAGAGAGGACACGCAGGCGACGAGGAACACGAAGGGACGATGGAGAAGCGAGAGAGGAACGACTAGCAACGCACCCGGACGAGGCAGTCGTGGAACATGAACCGCAGCAGCGCCGGCCCGATGGTCTTGTCCTTGCCGACGAGGCTCCGCATCTCGGCGAGCACCAGGTCCTCGACCTGCGGGCACGACTCGTTGTAGAACCCCACCGCGAGGCCGGCGACGGGGAGGCCCGGCAGCACGCTCATCGCGGGGTCCGCGCGGCCCGGCCGGCAGCTCGCGACGGCCGCCACGACCACCACCAGCAGCAGCCGCCTCAATGCCATCGGCAACTGATACTGTATTAGGTCGTCGCCGGCGTACGTCGTTGCTTAGGACTCACGAAAGCAGCTCAAGAAAACGCTGAAACGACCATGCCGATCGAGAGCCTGGAACCCGAAGAATTGGACGCCCAACTGCGTACAACTGGAGTATAAAATCGCGAGAATCCGCCAGCTCCCGCAAATAAACCCCCCGGGCGCGAGTATAAACTATAAAGAACTGATGAGAAAGTCTTCGCTGAAAGCGAGGTAGTGGTAAGTAGGTCGGCCCTCGCTTTCGGGGATCTCAGAGTACGCTTTCGGGTAGTGGTTAAAAACTGAGGCGGACATCAAAGGCCTGCTAGGCGGCTAGCTATACTAGGAATACGAATATCGATCGAGGCAGACCGATGGAACGTCGGAGGCTACGCGGAAATTAAAGGAGAAGCGCAATAGCCATTTCACACGGGATCGGCAGACAGGAGCCGGAGGCGACGAGGCGCTAGCAGCAGCTGGTGGACTGATGGGCCCTGGCCGTCGTGGCTAGCTTTTTGCGATCGTCAACGGATTCTTTCGGCCGATTTGGGACTAGCAGAGCCTTGTCTACATGGGGGACCTGGATGGACTATTCATTAGGAGGCTAGGAATTGTCTTTAATGGAGCCGAGTCGCTGGAACGTACGGACCTGATGATAATAAGCACCATGGCTTGGAAGCTTGTTAAGAAAAAAAATCACCCGGATAGGGGGAGCGCAGAATTGAGCTCGTCCTGTTGGCTTTGCTGAGTGCTGACCAAGAAATGGTTGGTGCGCTCCCCAGCATGCATCAGCAAAGCGGAGTCCGCCCATGTCGTTTCTTGGTGAACTAGTCCATCTGCCGGATGATCACTGGGCTTACGCTTACGCATATACTTATTCAAAGTCAAAGTTTTATCGTTTCGCAGGATGGAATTGTAAAACTGGACATATGTGCCGAGTGCAGACCCCCAAAGCTGCTAAACTAAAGAATGTCGTCGACCGAATCAGCAATTAGGTGATTGATTGAGAGCGGCGCGGTCTGGCCGTTCCTTAGTTGTACACATGTTCACTGTTACTATTGGAAACCGTATATTCGGGCCCCATTCGGCTTACCCCATATCCGGCTTGTTCGGCTTTTTTTTTTCTAACCGAAACAGTATTTTTCTCTCACAACATTTCAGCCAGAACAATGTTTTTCAGCCAATTTCGGTCAAGTTTCAGCGAGTCGAACGGGGCCATTGTCATGTTCCAACCACCCTGCTCCGTAATGTCGCCGGCTCACCGCTCACTGCCCATCCTGGAAGAGCTGACAGTATGCCCGCCTGATGATGGGTGGAACCAGGATTCATGATGGGCTGCACCGTCCCTGAAGGGCTCAATCCGGCTGTTGGGCCGCGTTTAGTTGCCTGCGGAATCGGCGCCGCCTGACAGGGCAGCACCGTAGGCAGGCAGGTTTTATTTGGTAATAATGATCCAATCGTTCCTAATTAGGGTCGTTTGCGCACCGCAAAGTACAACTGGTTTACAATATTTTTTGAGAAAATCAACATTTAGTACTCCATATGTTTGTTTGATGTGACGGGGAATCTTCTTTTTGTATAGTGCCAAATTCTGGAATTTGGATGAACTAAACGTGGCCTTGGTTTCTGTGACTGATGCTGACAGGGCAGCACCGTAGGCAGGCAGGTCTAATAACATGATGCCCCTCCTCTAGGGTCGTTTGCGCACCGGGTCATGGTTTACTATGTTTCTTGAGAATAATATATAGTTATTGCATGCTGGTACTCGTCATTTGTTACCTTATTAATCGGCCGACAAAAGAAGCATTCATGCTGGCCCTTGGAACGTACTAACCTTTCTTGAAAAAAAATACATCTTTAGCATGTTAGGTTGATTTCCTCTGACTCGGTCCAACGACCGAGTCGGGCCTTGATCCCGCATCTTGATGGGGGGCACCCAACCAATTCATGGTTGGTGGGCCCCCGTCGTCCAGCGCCATATAAAAGGGGCAGGGTGCCGGGGCTCGAAGTACGAGGTTCACCGTCTGTCGGGAATCGATATTAGGGATACCCGGAGGAAGAAAGTTAACGGCCACGAACGTTAATTCGTCCGGATGGTCCAAGACGTATTTAACATCTCGCCCGACCCCGAGGGCGTGGGCCCCGTCTCGCCAGACCCCTCGGGCGCGGGCTCCTTCTCGCCCAACCCTGAGGGCACGGGCTCCGTCCTGCCCAACCCTGTGGGCGCGGGCTCCGTCTTGCCCGACCCCGAGGGCGCGGGCTCCGTCTCGTTAGACCCCTCGGGCACCGGCTCCGTCTCGCCCGACCCCGAGGGCGCGGGCTTCGTCTCGCCAGAACCCTCGGGCGCGGGTTCTGTCTCGCCCGATGGAGATCCATACCGCCTCCAACCACTACGGGTCTAAGAGTACGACCCCAGGGTCAAACTTCTGACGCCGAGAGGGAAGCGGGCACGTCTTGACATGACCCATGGCCATGACGGGCCATACCTGGGTGCTCACGTTGCCAATAGTGTCAGGCATGCTGACGTTGTGATGCCTAATCTCCGTACGGCCGCTGACAGGCACGTCGCTTCACCACGTCGTCTGCGCGGGATGGGATGGGACGCCACGACCACCTGATGACGTCGAGGCATGGCACCAGTGGTCACGCTCTCAGAGGGCCTGGTTGCGCTCCTCGTGAGCCACGCCACGCTCCGAGCGGAGCCTCTCCACGGTTTGGAGCAGCTCATCCCGCTCCTTGCGCAGCTGGGCGATCGCCGCGACATCCAGACTCGCCCTTTTCTCTAGGGCCGTGAGCTTCTCCTTGGCTCCCAGCTTCAACTCCCTTTCCCCCTCAACCTCGGCTAGAAGGTCGAGGATCTACTGGTGGGTCTCGGCGTCCTTTTGGAGCAGCTCGTCCCGCTCCTTCCTGACCTTGGTGGCCTCCTCGTCGTCCCTCCGCGCTCTCGCCGATAGGGCCTCGAACGCCCTCTCGGCCTTGTCAGCATGCCGACGGCCCTTGGCCACCCGCGATCGAAGACTGTTCGCCTCCTCGGCGAGGAGAGTCAACTCGGCCACCCTCTGCTAGGCGACAACAACATGAGCGGTCACTTCCCCGCACAGCCACGCCTCCTCGACGAGGCGGTCCCAGGTTCCCTTCTGCTCACGAAGGAACCGAGTCTTTCCCCAGTTGCGAGCGATAAGGGACTGAAAGAAGACGATGGTCAGAATACAAAAAATATATAGAGAAAGAAAAGGGCGAGAAGCAGGGTCAAGCAAATACTCGGCCGGATGGAATGACAACATCGCGCAAGTCACCTCTAGTGTGGTTAAGGGATTCGAGCACGGACGCGATCCCCACGTCGAGGCGCTCCCGCTCCATGCTCTCTGTGGCATCGTCGAGAGTGAAGAGCGTCGACGTCGGATCCTCCGGACTCGCCCACCAGAGCAGGGGCTCGCTCCGCGCAGGTGAGTCGCTGCCAACCGACGTTAGGGCTAGGGATAGCTCCCCGCCGGCTCCGATCGCCGCTGACCCTCCTCGCTGTGACGTCCCCGCCGGGACACTCCCTCCGACGACGGAAAGGGTCAGTGGTACGGACGCTGACTCCTCTCCCAGCACCACAACCTTCGAGGACCCCTTGGTCGTGTCCCCCTCCGTCCGTCCCACGCCAGACGCCATCACCTGGGCTATCGATGGCGCGTGTCACACCGATTTCTCAGGCGCTGCCACGATAGCACCTGGCTGTGACCCGCCTGTCGCAGTCGCCGCCACCTCCGCCTGCGTCGGTGGGGTCCTATCTGGCTACGTCACGGTCGCCGTGGTCGACGCCACGAGCGCGGTCGACAGCCCCGTCCACCCCATTGTCGGCAGCGGTATCACCGCCATCACCGGCTGCTCCATGACCCCCGAAGGCGTCCCTTGAGCCCCCACATCCGCTCGTCCCACCGAGGGCACAGGCGCCACCATGGGTAGCACCTGACCGGCCGGCGACGCAGTCACACTGGCGCCGCTCCCGTCCGAAACGGGCGTGACACCAGTCGACGGCTGTCGCCTCGCTTGAAGGGCGGCGCTCTTCTTTGGCGCCAGCGCCAAAGGATTACACTGCCTCCCGACGCTGCAAGAGACGAAAAGCATAAGTCACGATGAAATCCAACCAAAACAGGGAAAAACAGAGGAGCTGATGACTCACCTCAGTGCCATCGGGTGCCCAATATGTTCGGGGGCCGGACCCCCTGACCTCTGCTCCGCTTCGTCAGGGCGAGGCCGTTTCGAGCCCGCCCCTGCTCCTGGGCAGAGGGGCTCGCTCTCCTTGGCTCTTGGGGTGCCACGGCAGAGCCGCCCGCATCCGCCGACACCTCAGGCACGGCAGCGGAGCCGCCTGCCCCCATTGACTCCTGAGGCAGGCCGACGGTACGTCCCGCCTCCGCCGGTCCCCAGATGTACCCTCCCCTCCGTGGAACGGGAAGGGTCCCGACTCCTACAAGGACGAACCGATACCTGTCAGCGCATCCTCGTTCTCTAAGATGTCCCATTCGGCATCGTCGGCTACCTCATCGTCGTCGCCATCTTCATCATCATTGTCGTTGTCGGTGTCCTCCCCCCGTTCCCATGCCTGTAGCTTCCGCTGCCTCTTCCTCTTCTTGTCCTCCTTCGCCTTCCTCAGCCGCTCGCCCTCGGCACGATTCGCTGTCCTGACGGACGAATCCCTCAGCAATGGCGTCGGGTGATCCATGAAGACGAGGTCCCTTGGCTGGTCCCGCCCCTCTCAAAGTTTGTATCAAGACATCGGGAAATCGATTGAAGAGAAGGCAGGAGAAGAGGAAACTTACGAAGACGACGTGGCTTGGTTCCGGCAGCATTGGAGGATGTCCCAGCACCGGGAAGACAAAATCGAGAGGGGCACCCACATCGTCCCGCGAGGGCTCCATGGCCTCCTTGATGCATTGCGCGATCTCAGAGTTGGGGAGCACCCCCTCAACGAGCGCCGTTCTATCGAACGACGCCTTGGGCAC